AGGTCCCAATTTTTTCGAAGGACAAAGCATCTTTAAGTTGGTTGTGGCCAACCACACCTTCTGCCCAGGCCGCAATGCCAAATCCCCTCTTCGTTTCTTGTTAAACTCCTTCTTATTGTCCTCTTGGGCCCGAGCGATGGCTTCCTGGAGTAATTTGTTATTGACGGAGAAGAAGGTCAACGCATCCTGCGTGGCTGGAACTGGGCATTCAGAGACCAAGTCAGGGAGAAAGACAGGGTGAAACCCATAATTCGAAAAGAATGGGGACTGCCCCGTTGCCGAATGGCTTGCGTTGTTATAAGCAAACTCCGCCAGGGGTAAAAGAGACAGCCAATCATCCTGCAGGAAAGACGTGTAGCAACGCAAGTATTGCTCCAGGGTCTGGTTCGTCCTCTCGGTCTGACCGTTGGTCTGAGGGTGGAACGCGGAGGAGAGGGACAACTTGATGTCCAGGGCCTTGCACAGAGCCCTCCAAAACTTAGATGTAAACTGGACCCTCGATCAGAGACGATGTCCTCGGGTACTCCATGAATTCTAACGATCTCCCGGATAAATATTCACGCCGTCTCAGTTGCTGACGGAGTCTTCCTTAGTGGCACGAAGTGAGCCATCTTGGATAGGCGATCAATAACTACCAGAATTGCTGTGTGGTCTTGTGACGGTGGGAGCTCGACTATGAAGTCCATCGCGATCTTCTGCCAAGGCCGTTCGGGAATCGGCAAAGGTCGCAACAGCCCCCAGGCTTTGCTCCTTGACGGTTTGCTCTTCTGGCAGATGGTACAGGATCTCACGTAGCGCTTGCAATCCTTAGCCATGTTTGGCCACCAAAACGAGCGCCGGAGAAGCTCCAGAGTCTTGACTGGGCCAAAGTGACCCGCCAGCGGGTGATCGTGGCAATGCCCCAAAACCAGGGTCCGGACTTCCTCAGGTACCATGATAGAATCCTCCTTCCACAGGAGTCCCCCTTTGTTCTGGAGGGATACCCCAACTGGGGTTGGTGTGGCCGTAGATGCTTCTATTAACTTGGAGCGAAGGTCCGACTGGAGCGCCAAGAAGTTCCCTGAGGACAAGATAGTGTCGGGTACCAGTTCCTCTTCGGAGTCCTCAAACATACGAGATAGCGCGTCAGGCTTCGTATTTTTAGATCCGGGCCTGTAAGTAATATGAAAATTGAATCTGGAAAAGAACAGGGCCCATCTTGCCTGCCGTGGGCGTAGACGCTTGGCAGTCCTCAGATATTCCAGATTCTTGTGGTCTGTGAAAATCAATATAGGGTGTGAGGCACCTTCCAGCAGGTATCTCCATTCTTCTAGCGCTGCTTTGATAGCCAGCAGCTCTCGATCCCCGATATCGTAATTCTTCTCTGCTGGGGTGAGTTTCCTCGAGAAGAATGCTACGGGATGGAGTAACTCTTTGGTGCCTTTCCGCTGAGACAGGATGGATCCTACCGCATTCTCCGATGCATCTACCTCCAAGATGTAGGGCAGGGCCGCGTCCGGGTGGCCCAGGATGGGTGCCGAGGTAAACAGCTTTTTCAGAGCTTCGAAAGCTTTTTGAGCCTCTGGTGTCCATTTGAACCGGGTTCCAAGTTTGGTTAGTTGGGTAATGGGGGAGACCAGACCCGAGAAGTTTTTGATGAACTTCCGATAAAAGTTCGCGAACCCTATAAACCGTTGGACACCTTTTTTGTCCGTGGGTTCAGGCCAATCTAAAATTGCAGAGACCTTCTGGGGGTCCATCGCGACCCCCGCAGTGGAGATAATCAGGCCTAGGAACGTGATGCTAGATTGCTCAAAGCAACATTTTCTCCGCCTTAGCATATAACCCATGCTGCCGCAATCGCCCCAAAACTTTCGCCACATGTATCCTATGATCCTCTAGAGAGGGTGAAAAAATTAGTATGTCGTCCAAGTAGACGATAACGAAGACATCCAAAAAATCCCTGAAGATGTCGTTCACAAAGTGTTGGAAGGTGGCTGGTGCATTGCACAGCCCAAATGGCATGACCAAGTATTCCTCTGCCGCCCGCCCGGCCCTGTCGGAGCGCATATAAGGTCGCTTCGGCAGAGGCTGCCCGCTGTGGGTCATCATACAAGATGGCCATTGCTTCAAAGAAACTATTGACCGATCCCAGGTGAGGATCATTGTTTCCCCTTAGCCGGTGGGCCCAATCCTGGGGTTCACCCTGTAGTAGTGAAATAATGAATCCTACCTTCACGTTTTCGGTCAGGAAGGTACGGGGTTGTAGCTCAAAGAACAAGAGACAGGAGTCGCGGAATGACCGGAAGCGTGTGCGGTCCCCGTGAAAACGCTCCGGTAGGGGTACTCGGGATTCTACCATAGGGAGCGGGGCGGAAGCCCCTGAGGCTGGCTCCTGAGCTACAGGGCCGGGGGTGCAGAAACCGGGGCCTGTGGGGCAGGATCAGAAATAGAGCCAGTCTGGATGCGATTCTCCAGCTGCATGCATCTGTCCTGCAGGACCGTTACGGCCTGCGTCAAAGTAGCTAGGTGCCTGCAAATTTCCTCTAACGGGGAGGGCCCTCCTCTAGGCTCAGTCATGGCCTTTTGGTACTGTAACCACTACCACTAGCACTCCACTGGTCGGATGTTCCCAGCGCACGGAGTCTAAGCCCCAGGGTACTTGTTCACCAGGGCCCCTGATGGTGGGGATGGACTTGGAGTACCCCAGGACCAGGTCGTGACTACTGAGGACACCCGTCAGTGGTAGGGGTATTCGCCAGGGGCTCCCACGGGAGAGAGCCAGGTATGAGGAGGTCTGGAGACCCGTAGAGAGGGACGGATGGATGGATGGATGGATGGATGGCTGAGTAGGAGCAGGGTCATACAAGCCGGGTCGGTAACTATGGGGACGGTGCGGTACAGAGCAGCGGGCAGAGAATAGTCGGGTCACACGCCAGGTCAGCAACAGCAGGTCAGATCCAATAGGGGGCATACAGGAGAGAGGTCAGGCAAGCAAGGGTCAAAACAGGAGAAAACAGCAAGGTCAGGGCACAATCCGGGTCAGCAACTTACTTCAGACAGGTTCACAGGTTCACAGGATACAAAAGACCAAAAGGCACTGAATGACAGCTCAGGGCCGTTTAAATATCCCGCCCTGCGCTGTCATTGGTGCCAGGCGCGCGCCCGCGGTCACTACTGCGCATGCGCGAACCTGATTGCCGCGGTCGGCCAAGTCCCGGCGCTCGCGTACAGGGAGGTGTACTGCGCCTGCGCCGGGACCAGCGGCGCGACGATCCCCGACACATAGTATTTAATGGTGCTTAATGGTTATGATTAAGCACGAGATTGTATGAAACGCGTTAACAGGTCCTGTATTCATGTCCTGGTGTGTTGTGTGTCCTATGGATCAATAAATACACACTATATTCATCAATCCTCTGGTGTGCGGCTGACCCTTCTTCCGGTTGCATCGTGTGTGGTGGCGAGCCAGAGCCTGTACCTGTTGTGGATTGATCTGGATTGATTGTTTGTTCCTTGACTTTTATCAGTATCCAGCAAAGCCCTGGTTACAGCTTGTAGGAGGAATTTTCATTCTCCTGTAGGAGGATGCAGGATCCCTGACCTTTGTCTGGAGAGTGCGGATTGGCCATGTGCTGATAATATGCACACTCTCCCAAGAAAAAAAAAACTATCTAGCAATACACACCAAACTGAGCATATGCAGCTTGCCCCCGAGCCTCTGTTCTATCAGGAGATATTTAGGAGACACTGGAAGAAGGGGAGGATCAAAGAAAAGAGGATCAAACATCCTTTTTACACAATGCAGAGGATTAACCCCTTAGGTTCCACAGTGAGTATAACAAGCATGCTTTACTGCATATACAGACTGATTTTACTGTTGTGGGTTTAGTAACACTTTAAATGGGACAGCAATGCTTGTATATATTATATAACATGAAGTTGTGATGTCCTCTGGGCTCAAGAGTGTGTTGGATTTTAAAGTTTTTAGATGAAATTGTATTTCTTATGGACCTGCTCCAGGACCATAATTGGTCAGCTGAGGCCTCTTTGAATTCTGTAAATTGTATATTTATTTATTGCATTCGTTAGTAAAATATTGTGAGCAGTGATGTGTCTCCAAACTTGGAATATTTCAGTGGATATGTTTGGCTGACTAATCAGATCTATGAAGGCTGTTTGCAAGAAGGATTTATAGACCTTAATATAAACTTATTATTGGACCATCTCATTTATTGTTCCGCAAGATTAGTTAAACATAGATTAAGGCGGAACTAAACGCTCTCAATCAATATTAATTATTTGTAATCCTTATGCTGCTAGCATTAGTAAAGACTGTAGATAAGACAGTATATTATATTTACTTGTTTTACACTTAATTTTTTACATTTTTTCAGTTACTTCCTGGTTTCTGGCCTAGGCCAAAATTATATCATACATCCCAGGAGTCTTCATGGCATTTTTTTCTTTCATCTGGAAGAGGGGACAATGGGACTTTGTCATCTAAGCACACCCTCCTGCCTGCACACCTAAGCTAAGGGCAGATGGATTCCAGGAAGTAAATGCTACATGAATCATCTGCCTTTACTCAGGATGGCTGTGGCAAGAAATGTTGGGGGAGATGTCTTTTTAAAGTAATTTCCCAACAAAATAGCGCATGAAGATATGAATGGATTGGTGAGTTTGCTTTGAATATCAAAAATGAACTAAACAATATTTTCAGTTTGTGGTGCTCAGATACAGCTTAGTTGGATTTGCACATCTTCAAAATTGTATCTGTAATTGAGGAGAAGGATTGGTTTTGAGTTGTGTAGATAGTGACGTATAGGCAGCTTCTAATTATTTAATATATTCCAATCTGTTTTCCTTTTTTTGAGGTGCAAAGTGGATTAGCATCCTTGTATTAACTGCCTTATGGGCATTCCATAGAGACGTGGTTGAGCAAAATATTCTACCAGGGATGATTGAACGATTCATTGAGTCAGCACAGCAGAGCAATACAAAGCAGCTTGTTTCCCTAGTAAAACACAACACAGTACACAGTTAACCCTTTGATTGCCCCAAATGTTAACCCCTTCCTGCCCAGTGTCATTAGTACAGTGCCAGTGCTTTTTATTAGCACTGATCACTGTATTGGTGCCACTAGGGATGTCAGTGGTAGTCAGTTCCCCCCCAGTGTCAGAATGCCTGCCGCAGTCCCACTATAAGTCGCTGATTGCCACCATTACTACTAAAAAAAAATTAAAATCAAAATTCCAGTATCTATACCGCCATTTGTACATGCTATAACTTTCATGTAAACCAATTAATTAACACGTATTGGGATTTTTTTCAGCAAAGACATGTAGTAGAATACATTTTGGCATACATTTATGAAGATATTTTATTTTTTACATTTTTTACTGGACATGTTTTATAGCAAAAAGTAAAAAAATATTTTTTTTTTCAAAATTGTCAGTCTTTTTTTTTGTTTATAGCGCAAAAAATTTAAATGCACAGGCGATCAAATACCACCAAGAGAAAAAACCATATATGGGAAAAAAGGGCTCAAATTTCATTTATGTACAACGTTGCATGACTGCATAATTGTCAGTCAAAGTAATGCAGCACCGTATCGCAAAAAAATGGCCTGGTAAGGAAGGGGGGTAAATCCTCTGGAGCCAAGTGGTTAAGCTTTGGCAATGCAACCGGGAAGCTGATTGGGTTTTATGCAGAGATGCACCAGATTATGCACGCTTCAGTTTTATTATATAATCCCCACAGTCTGAAGGAAATCAGCTATAGTCAACAATATGTTTACATTTCAAATTCATTTTTGACATATTCGAATTTGAGTCAAATTTAAATCATTCGTTATTTTGGATTAAGTTTAATTTTGTTATTTCTGATTTGTTTAAATTTGTTACTATTGTAATTCAGAAATTCAGATACACTTGAATCTCCAAACAACAAAAATTTTGTCTGAATTTTGATTCGTAGCAAAACAACCTGCACATGTCAAGTTGAAAAAGGAGATCTCGAAATGTATGCAAAGGGGGGGGTTGGAGGGTAAATGAGATGAACAGTTGGAAAGGACCTGTCTGTCCAGTCTGCCATTTGTTTTGCATCATACATTCCATCATCGCATCAACCAATCTAGTGAATACAAGTTTTATTTACTGTCAGAGGGAACAATAATAAGGAATGACAAAATTTTAGAGTCTATCTAATCTCGAACACAAGGTTACTGAGTGAACCAGTAGGAAATGAAAAGAACTAGGTTCTTCAATCATTGGATATGGTTTCTAACCACTCCTTGATAAAAAAAAAAAAAATAAAGCAATTGGCCTTTAAAGAGTCTTTGTCACATTGGCCTACATGGTCATCTTCGTGAAGGCAGAACTTTGCTTCTTGATGTCATAATGACAGGTGAAGGAATGATCAAGAAGCAGCAGGAGAGGTGAAGAAAGCACAAATTCATAGAACGGATAAAGCAGAAGCAGGGGGATTCTTGCACTTCAGGTCTTCAGGTTCAGCTTCCTCTCCAGCAAGGAGAACCATGAGCAGCATAGTAGTGGCTTCACCAAATCTCACTGCAAATTTGGTGAGACTAGTAGTTAGAGGTCGCATTGCCTTAGATAATCCCACACTGCAGATATACATATATGAGGCTCAAAGCCCAGGAATTCCATTGCTACTTATCAGAAAAAAATTCAAGACAACATTAGATTTTTCAGGGTAATGTTTAGGCACAATTAACATTTCTACTTTTCTTCTTTTTCTTTAAAGTGGCAGATCTTCACTTTCTAGGTTCGGGTCCACTTTAAATAAGTGCAATGATATTATATATGTTTGGCGCTGTCTTTTATCCCACATATAGTTTTACCTGATCAAATTGTAATCTTTCCTACTGTAAACTGTGTTCTATAAATATCAAAACAGAAAAAAATGAAATAAAAAAGGCCACATTTATCTATACAACCTACATAGAACAGATAGAATCTACAAGCGGCAGTATATTAAATAGTTATTCTATGTTGCTTTTGAGACAATTCCTCAGAAGAACAGGCAATTGGAAATGAATAACAGATCCCACGGTAAGGAGAAAGCAGTCTTTTAATAAACTTCTGTTCCCCTTACTGCGGCAAAGTCTATAGTAAATCAATATCACAGAGCAAATGCTTCAACCAAGGCTAAATAAACAAACATTAGCTTTATTTAACAGAAGTGCAACTACAACTGTCCCGTTATTAGCCGTGATCAATTGCTCAGTGGATTTTATTAAACTGTGTGATTCTGGCCGCAATTAAAATTTATTCTCAATGAGGATGAAGCAGATTGCTCAGCCATTAATTAAACATCCTTGTATAAGTCGGTAACAAGATGGATGGTTTTGCTCATCCTCTCCTGAATCAGCAAAGCAGAAGTCTTTTGTAAAATAGAATAAATACACAGTTCACAAATGTGACCTTGAAGCTGATGTTTAAAGTGCATCTAAACCCTAGAACAAATATTTTATTTATTGCTGCTCACCAGTCCTTAGATGTGGTGGCTGCATTTGATTTCTTTTTTTCAGACTTTATTTTGCTTTAAATTCACCTAGTGATCAGGCCAGTAACCTACTTCCTGTCCTAGAGTGACAACGCTCACTTACTGAATCTATGGAGGTGCAGTGTTGTCATCCTAGGATAGAAGCTGTGTTTGGTCTAAAGAATGTCTCTACTCTTCTTCATAACATAGGGGGAGTTGTTCTGTAGTTCACATATAGTAGATTAACCGGATTTCTTGCAGGATCAACAGTTTGCCAGTTATTGAACAGATATAACAAAACACTACGAATTGTATATTTAACAAACCAAAAGAGAGCAAAAAGAAGTTCATTGTTAGAGTTTACTTGTACTTTATATATGCGAGGAGAAAGAAGTCACAGCTCCTCATTGTGCATCTTGTGGAGAAAAATCCATCTATCCCACTTTCCTCCATAACTGGTTTGATATATGGTCCTCTATAAATGTACTGATTAAGTTTGCAATCTGAAATTTAGACTGAAACATAATCTTTCTATTGCATAAGGGGAATGAGCATTGCTGTAGCGCACCAGTCCACTCCACTCCTTTTAAACTCCCTGGGGGTATTCCCGAGTGTAGTTCGGGGTAAAGTTTCAGTACCACAAGCGGTAACCCCGAGCTACACTCGGGAATACTCTGCAGCGTTGCTCCAGGATCTCTTCTTCACTTACCTTGTCCTGCGCTCCCGCGATGTCCCTCCTGCAGTGTCCCCGGCAATGTCCTCCCGGATGCCGGACGTTCCTCCCTGCGACGTCGGGACGTACGGGGGACGGAACTGGCGGGAAATTAAAATTAAAAATGTGAAAAAGTGACATTCACTAAATACACTAAAGTCACATAGTAAAACATTACTGTATAAAACCATTTCACATACATTTTGTCCCGAGTGCTTTGTCCTGCGCCCTGCCTGCATTTTTACTGTTCTTTCTGCCTGGAAACTGAGAAACGTCCATGGCGTCCAAAAAGTGTCCCTTTAGGTCAAAAGTAGTTTTAGACCGGCTAGAGAACAGCGATAGTAAATCAGAACCACTTGCAGAATTGAGTGATAATGATTCGTAGGGAAATTCGTCATCAGACACTGAAAACGATTTTGCGACTTTGCTCAGTGATGTGCGAACTTAGCGCTATATTTTAAATTTCAGTGTTTTGGTTTTTGATTATATTATTGAATTAAATGTATTATTATTATATAATTATTTTTTATGATTATTTATTAAATTATAATTTATGATCTCGTGTTTCAAATTTTAACATACCCGGGATGTTTACTAGACTCTTGTTCGGACAGATTTCAGTGAGTTATTCCTAAAAATTACAGGCCTACTACAATAAAAAAACTACATATTTCCATGCAAAAAAATGTACCTCTTTGAGCACAGAAATATGGACATAATCAGACCGCTAGGGAGGCTACTCACTGATCTAATAACCTATGAACACCTAATTGAGAGGTAAGGAAGGAATTCTCAAACATACCCATTGCAGATCTTGCTATTTCTCATATGCAGAAAGGTGTAAAATAAACAAACAAACTAGCCATTCTAAAAGGTTGCTCACAGCCACCAGTGTTTAAAGCAGCCTTTGTCAACCTTTTCAACACGGAGGAACCCTTGATATAACTTTCCAGTCTCAGGGAACCCCTGCTAAAAATGACTATATCTACAACTCATGATACATTAGTGTGATGGTCAGTAGGAATAATGCTCCTTACCAGGGGCGGACTGACCATTTGGAAATTCGGGCACTGCCTGAGGGCCCGGGGTCAGTAGGGGGCCCATGAGATGCCCCTGGTACCTTTTTTCATAGGCTTTTTTGAGTTTGGGCAAGGACACAGGGGCCCCATGATCCCCTATTGCCCAGGGGCCCCATGAGTTGTCAGTCCGCCCCTGCTCCTTACACTTGTGGTCATTGGGAAGAATTACCCTCTGACAGATAGCTATAAAGATCAAAGGTGTCAGTGGGAACTTACTGTATCTGAGAGGCATAAACTGCTTATTACCCACGGAACCCCTAGCGACTTCTGAAGGAACCTTAGAGTTCCATGGAACCCTGATTAAGGAACCCTGGTTTAAAGTGTAAATTCATCTTTAGTAACATTTTACAAAACATGTTCTATGCAGTTTCAGATCCCACAATAGTACATGCCAGCTATTGGCATATCCTCCATGTGTGCAGTACACACGGGCCCCAAGGGAGATGGAGACCACTGTGCCATCATACATTGTGCAAGTGTGAGGAAAGTAGTTCTGTGTCTCTGCTGCAGCTGCACCTGTCTCAGTCAGCTGCAGCAGTTTTAAAGTGGTAGTAAACTCTTTAAAAGAAAAAAAAAAAAAAAAAGGTTCCCCCTGCAAGGCAATATCATAATGTGCTAGTATGCACCACATACTAGTACATTATGAGAGACTTGCCTTAAAACGAAGCCTCCAGTGACATGCTATCACTGCAGATAGGATTTCCATCTTCACCCGACCTTCCTTTTGGGTTCGCGAGCTCCAGCCTGCTGATTGGCTGAGCCATGATGACTCATGTATGCGGGAGTCTCGGCGACAGCGCACATCTCTGAAGGAGCGGTGCAGGTATGCCATCCCTTCAGAGCACATGCACCAGTGAAGTCACCGGCTCCTGCTCAGTGGAATACTTCCTAAATGGTGCATGTTG